TTTTCAATAAATATATGGAATTAAATATGACGGATCGCCTTTTTGATACTTTTGCGTTCGTTTGGGTTTGTGGCGCCGTTATATGTCGCAACCGCCGCTAAATGTCGCAAAATCTTTTGCCGTTAAATGTCGCAATGTTAACGTTAAATGTCGCACGAATTTCCCTTACCGTTAAATGTCGCAACACTACCGTTAAATGTTGCAAGATGTAATTTTATGTTGAACTCAAGTTTTATTGTTGTATTATATCAATTAAATCTGCCTACTCAAGACGAATTATGTCTGTTTGAAAGCGAGTGATTTTGTTATATATTGAACTGCGCTACAATTTAGGCGACGATAACACTCATCTTGTAAATAAATGTATATTGTTTTGCGTTCGATTTTTAGCTGATCTTATGCAAGGACATATTGATAATTATACAACTGTCTAATATTTGTATGAAACTGCAAAATTGGCATTGTTCTGTAAATAGTTTTGTATAATCATGTCTGTAAAATTGGCAGAAAGGACAGCCTGGCGGCCAGGCTGCCTTCAGCCAATTAGAAAGGCCAATATGAGCTTACCCAATTATTTGTATTCTTATTTTATGATATTTACTGAGAATCTTTTATAGTATTTATGAAGCGACTTGGGCAGTAAAATATCACTTGCCAAAATGTCAAAGTGTAAATAGTGTTTGACAAATGGTAAAATGTACTTAATCTTGTGTACGTTTTCTAACTTTGACATCTGCTTACAAAACTGCCGGCGCATAATATGGACAATGAAAACGCGCGGTCGGGATAATTTCATTTTAACAAGGAAAATATAATTCTTTTAAATATTTGTTCACGGTTTAATAAAACCAAATGCATTCCGGTCATTTAGATACCAACGTTATGAAAAATGATAACATTTTAATGAAGTTATTGCATAATAAAGACAGTACCCGAAAAATCAAAAGTAACACTTTTGGCTAATTATGATAAGATCACAGCAGAAAACAGATTGAACCAATTCATGGTTACTTTATGAAATGATTTTTTTTAAACTGTTAACTATTACCTTGTTTTTAATACCTTTCTAGAAATGTTAGACACAAATGAGCAATTAAAATCTTTATGAAAATGAATATTAAATTATGCCAATGGTCAGTTTAAGAAATCGTTAAAGCTCGCATGGAGATTGCATATACACACTTTTCCTCTATAAAAGGTGCTAAATGACAAACACTACTGAAGACTTGCTTGTAAATTGTATGCAATGGTTCTACAAAGAAATAATCGCTGGGTAGATTTAGCACAGATTCAGTCTGGTCTATCTTACAAACAAAGCGCCAACCGTTTTGGTGTCCATCGGTCTACATTTTATGGCCTTCACCAGCGTTTTCGCACTACACTACAGGCCGAATGGCGTCAGATTCCACAGGCGACTATCCGCACCGTAAGGTCTATGAGGCGACGAAGTTCATATGTAAGAGACTCTGATGGAGGACACTGTCGTTTCTAAAGATCCCGACAGTGACAATACGAATAGACATTTATGAGTGACTCTGTTTTGGGATTTTCACCTTAGGTTCTTCGATTTACTGGTGTACAGTTGATCTTAAACATTTTGCATTATTTCCAGTTGTTAAGTTTGCGTTTTGTAATAAAGTTATGATATATATCTAATGGAGTCGTTAGTGTTTTGTTTTCATGTAATAAAATGCATATAGTGGGGGCGTGCGTTTTCATTGTCCTTAAGTATATAATTTGTGCTAATCATGAAATTCGCTATTTAACACCCGACTGCGGATCGGCAAACCTGTGAGGAATACTAAATGATCAATGAGAACTATTAATGAGTACTACATGATAAAAAATAAAAAACGAAAGCCAAGTGCAAGATTTCAAAATGGTCCAAAATACTTCCCCAAACTTTTCTGTCGATTTTCGTATTGACCGTGCATTTCGTGTTTTTTTTCACATATTTGTTGTTTCTGATAAAAACAATTTTCCCTTGATCATGGGGGAGGAAGTGTTACCCGAGGGATGGAGTTCTTATGATAACTTGTAAAGGAGTTCTTGTGTTAACTGTCACGGAGTTCGTCGGAAAACTATTGTATATACTGCAAAATACTCGTCAAAAATGGTAATTTTCATCTTAAGAAAGTGAATTTTAGGTGCTAAAATAAAATTTAATGATAAAGCTTGCCTAACATATTGTATTATGTGTCAAAAACTAATTCTTAGTCCATTTTTCATGTTTGCAATTTTGCATTATAATTAGGTAATTATGTATGGCAAGGATGAAGATTTGAAATAAACAGGTCAATACTTGCGAATTGGCAAATAATTTGGAAATTTTACTCAAAACTACCAGATTTTAAGAAAGAGACGATGAAAAATGGACTATGGCGCCACAGGATTTTTGCGACGGACGCGCCCTCAGGCGCGTTCAGAGCTAAGTCATCTACACATGGGATTTCGCGCAAAGTGTCCTCAACCGAATAACAGCCCATGAAATAGTAAATGAATTTGATCCTTTAAAACTCACATACTTTGTCGGGATATCTTAAAATCTTCCATATTTAGCCTTTTCAATTTCAAATTAAGTTATCCAAGTTAAAATATGAACGTATTTGATTGATAAAAACGTTGTAGTCCCGTAGTATTATTGCGCAATATGCAAATTACTGCCAAAACGATTTACAGCTGTCGAAAAAGTAGGACAGCAAATTATACTATAATAAAGGTGTAAGCTCTGAGTTCCAAAAAATTATTAGTAGGACATAAATATTTCTACATTATACAAAACATAATTATTAACAAATCAAAGTTTTTCGTGACTCTTAGAATAACTCGCGCATTAATAAAAGAAGAACTATTTTCGTGACTCATACCGCGGGTTTAGCTGAATATTCAGCAGTTATTAATAAATCAGATACAGTATAATGGTTAGTATAAATATCTATTTTTGAAAATGCATGTAACAAGAGAGTTTTTTCAACACTTTACTACCATGTAGTCTTTCATGGTAATCTTTATTGAAGGAAGTTATAATATCAGTTCTACTTCCGATTCTTGTGGTTTGTTTACATATTTTTCTACGTCACGATATGAGTTAACATTCGCTATTCTAAAAATAGATTCTGCTGCAGGCGATTAAGGTGTACACATTATACATGTAATAAACCAGCGGATACTTACTTTGCTTACATGCAATACTTACAATTGTAAGAAAATGGAATTTAGTGTGAAATTGAAAAGAACAGCTTAAGTGACATTTAAATTAAAATAAAAAACGATGTGCTATGGCCTCTACATCTTAACCTTGTAAATAAAAAAAATCTAAAAAATACACTTTTAATTGCTGATGATTTTAACCAAAAATATTTTTAATGAGACATATCCAAGAGAAATAAATATACAAATGACTTATATTTTATCGTCTATATGCCCACTATGATATAACACGAAGCAATTCTAAATAACATTCTCACATGTATAATGTATTATGCTTGAAGTTAATTTGCATGGTTTTATTTTAGAAATATTTCGTTGACAGTTTTTTTCTATTTACATATCATTCCTTGGAATAAATCGATAAGGACACTGATTTACAAGTTTGACCAGAGTTTTTAGGCATAAATTTCATTCTGTATAACTAGAAACTCTGAATTACATTAGATTGGGACACATAAAATATATTGCTCTACAAATCTCGAACTTGTATGGAACAAATTTTCTCTGTTATATCTTTTGTGTTTTTTTTTTCTAAAAAAAAAGCCTTAATGTCTCTCCGGTTGCATGTCCGTCGCATTCAGTGCTGCAGCACTTTGATTCTTCTAAGCTGTTCTAGTCATTATATTCTCTTCTCGAACCGGGCATAAGACGACTGAAACGAACTTTCGACTAATTTACAGTTGCAAAATTCACCGCGGAAATAGTGTACAGTATCTACTCAATCTTTGTTTTGTAATAAATTCCTATTCAAATCAAATTCCATTTTGATTAAAATCAAATAATGTAAGTAATATTGTTTAAATCTAAGATCATATTTGATAACAATTAATGGGGAAAAACATTGCGGATAAAAATGAACTGAAATAAAACTATTGAGGACGAATAAAATGTTCTGTTTGCGGTTAGCATGGTTAGTAGTAGCTTATCCTATGCAAGTTAACAAGTTCGACTTCGGCCGAGTATCTTTTTAAAGATACTTCTTGTTCTTGATACACTTTTTCAAACACTCCGAAGGGTAAAGCATTAATATTCAACAAATCGTCGTTCACTTTGTCAGGGGAAAGGTTCTCGTTGGTTTAATTTAATTTTCTTTTTGTAACAGCTTAGATCATTGGAAGCCTTAAACATTCCTACATGGAACTACATTGATCGATTTTTGAACAATTACAACTTAAACAATACTTACAATTAGCCGTGCACTATCTCGGAAATGTCGTTCGCTCGTTTTTCCGTACACCACGGCGTGAACAGTAGGGGTGTTACGGTTAGAAAAATGCTAACTGTTTTTAAAAACGGCGACGTAATAACCGTGTTAAATGTTTAACCGACCGTACTAATAAAATCCTTAGATCTTAAACATTAATTTTGTTTCTTTATGTCAAGATATGCCAATTTTTTTAATATTTTGTTGTACTCAAAATGATTACAATGCATATCCGAATATGGAGTAACTATTTTCCGTTAATGGTCGTGATCGGAAAAAATACATGGTTGAGTACAATTAGAATACAAACAATTGTCATATCTTGTCATAAAAAACTAAGGTAAAACTTACAATCAATTTAAAACTTCTCCGCCCCTTAGCCAAATACTAACCTCGGTTACCGGTTTCTCTAAAAACCGACCGTACCCGTTTAAACGGATAAACATGACACCCCCTAGTGAACAGTACTACGCTGTAAAGTAGACAAGATAAAAGATAGTGACACACTTAGCAAGATAAAATACATTTCAACTTAATGTTTTTGCTATAGTAACGGGCTACTAAGAGAATGCGCTAAAAACATTACCCCTTCCAGTATGCTAGCCACTGCGAACAAAGTTGAAGGTGAGATTTCACTTTCGTCCGCTTTAATGCTGTTAAGTAAATTTTCTGCGTTACCATTGACTTCCGGTATCAGTTCACTATATCTTTCAGTGTTAGCAGTCCATAGTATGATCACCTTGTCAACGCCACTTGTTGCTTTAAAATTTCTTATATCTTGTCTGATTTTTGTCAGTAATTCTTGTTTTGTTCCAGAGAGTACATTGTCAGCCCGATCACTCTGATTGGCTGCTATGAATTCTGGGAAGTAAACAGATGGGCGTGGTTTGATATTTTCCATATAAGGACGTAACTGTTCTTGAAGGCTGTAGTCTAGAACCTTGGCACGCTCCATAGCTTTTGCAAGGTTCAATGATGAAATGTCCCATCCTGAAATAAAGATGACCATGGATGAAATATAAACTAATGTAAAGCGAGTTTGGACATATTTTCAAAGTTTAATGAGCAACATCATCTGAAATTAACATATAATGTTATCTTCATGTAGTAAGATTTTGGAAAATAATTAGAAATGAAAGTTTCTAACCGTCAATAACAATATCATTTGGGTCAACCATAGGAAGCATGTCTTTGAGCGGAACATAAATCTCTCCCTCTGGACCTGTGCCTAAACATACAGTGCTTGCCTGAGTGATCGAACCTGGAAAATACAAGCAAATTCGTAGAAATTAGTAGTTTTCTGCATTTTTTCTCCCTTTAAGGAGAATGCATTGAGATTTTGTGAAAGGGCAATCGCAACTTTTCGGCCCTTTCCGTCAATCTTAGCCGAAGACGTTCCGATTGGTGTAGCAATCGCAACTACTCGGCCCTTTCCGTCAGTCTTCGGATAAGGACCTCGAACACAATAGTATGGATACACAGAACGGATGCAGTATGTCGGTCAAACCTACGCTAAGAAACAAAACATGTAAACAAATAGTAATTTAATGGTGGGAGTCGTTGACAATTTTTTTTTAATATATGTAGTAAAAGTCCACCTAAAATAAGTGAATTCATAGGTACAAAAGAAAACAATACATTATTTATGTATTTATTATTATGGCTGTTGAAACCGAAAGTACAAAAAAACAATCTGTTGACATAAAGTCGGATTTGTTTAAAATTGAACATCAGTGGGCATATTTAAATTACAAATTGTTGTCAGACATATGTTCAAGCATAAGAGTACCGGAACAGACATTAGATATCAAATATATACATTCGTTTTACATTATCTCGGTTTCTGTTTACATCTGAAACCACGTGGTAGAACTACTTTCAATCCGTATTGTTTCCGAGGTTATTATAGATAATAGCCGAGACAGTTCCGAATGTTGGGTGTAGTTGTTGTTTATTGATTTTTTTTTCGTGTCCCGCTATGGTAATAAATAACGAACTGGGGAATTTTGCAGGAAATGAAATGCAAACATATTCACCAATAAATTGCTTTATCGAAAAAAATATTTTAAATATAAACATAGGTCATTTTTTACGAATTGTTATATCACAGTATTATCATTTTGCATATCCTTTGCCAGACCTGTCGACGCCCGCGTTATAGGGAGACACAGGCAAAATTTTCATTTCTTCGATTTGAATTTTTCATTCAAATCTGTAATGTCCTCAAAATGAATACACTAGGCAGCCACAGGAACAAGCATTTCTCCTTATAAAGAATACAAGAGCGATCAGTGATTACATGTGTCGCCTCATATTGGCCAATTTCATGTTGGGACAAGTTTTGTGACAGACAGACAGACAGACGGACGGACAGTGCACAACTAGACTTGGTACTGATCATTCCTGTAAAGTTTGGATAAAATTGCACCAGTAGTTTATGTGGAGTAGAACGGACAAGCTTTTGTGTATCTGGCAACACACAGAGAAAAACACCTTTTTATCAAAGGGCCATAACTCAGCCAAAAATCATTCAACTGAAAAACCCGTGCAATATGCGCAAGGACTTGAGCTACAGATCAATCCTGTAAAGTTTCAATGAAATTGCATTAGTGGTATAAGAGAAGTAGTTCGGACAAACTTTAAAAATGAAAATTACTAAAGGGCCATTACTCTTAAAAAAATTACTGAACCGGAAAATGCTGACAATATGCACAACTAGACTTGGTACTGATCATTCCTGTAAAGTTTGGATGAAATTGCACCAGTAGTTTATGAGGAGTAGTCCGGACAAGCTTTTGTGTATCTGGCAACACACAGAAAAAATCACCTTTTTATCAAAGGGCCATAACTCAGCCAAAAATCATTCAACTGGAAAACCCGTGCAATATGCGCAAGGACGTAAGCTACAGATCAATCATGTAAAGTTTCATTGAAATTGCATTAGTGGTATAAGAGAAGTAGTCCGAACAAACTTTAAAAATAAAAATTATTAAAGGGCCATAACTCTGACAAAAATCATTGAACCGGAAAATGCTGACAATATGCACAACTAGACTTGGTACTGATCATTCCTGTAAAGTTAGGATGAAATTGCACCAGTAGTTTATGAGGAGTAGTCCGGACAAGTTTTGTGACGGACGGACGACAGACAGACAGACAGACGGACGACGGAGAAGTGATCCCTATATGTCGCCACTACTCCGTAGAGGCGACACAAAAATGATGTTTCCTAACCTGACCCACTTGAGCGTTAAGATTTCACAATATGTGTCACAGTGAACTCTTGAAACTCTGGAAACGTTAAAGAACGCGTCAAATGAATGATTCAGGTATTTTCAATCATACTACACTTAACAAAACTTATAACTGTGCAGTTTTTAAATGTGAATAACTTTTTTATTACTTGACATTTTTTACCCAAATTTTGGAATTCATCGTTTGAATGGTTTATGTTTACAATGCTATATTCAGAAATAACGGTTATTTTTGTTGTGTGCGTTCATCCGTGACATGACATAAACAACAAAGTGCACGTGAGGGTGACAGGTTGGCGCTAAATGAAGTTATTATTGACCATCAAGGATTCTATTAAAATAAAGACATCCAAAAAACATAAATTTATTGCAGAATTTTTGCAATTGAAAGAAAAATGGCCGTCTAGAAGTTTTACGCAAGGGAATTTGCGTTTCAGGCGCCCATTTTGAAAATAAATTTGCATAATATTTTCTCAAATAAACATACTGACTAAGATTTTACTTTAAAACTAAAAACAAACTTTCTTGGTACTTTCATATTAATGAAAATATCGTGTTTGCATTGCTTTTAGCAACTGGGTACAACGCGTTACGGAGATCGACATAAACCAGTCTTTACTGAAATTCAATAAAGCAAATATTAAAATCACAGTGACATAATGCCCTAGAATTCATTGTAGTATTATACCCTATCGGTGATCCTATGTTTTATGTTTGTATTTTAGTGAAATCAAGAGATTTAGACCTTTTTGCACCCAATATAAATACACATTTGACAGAAATGTGAAATTCGGTTTTCGCGCAATATTGCACACATCGCTATTTCTCAGTAAGTACGAATCGCCCTGACATAAAAATCGATACCCATCATTGCACATATCTGTACTATACTTGGTTAAAATTTCCGAGACCTATGTTTATTAGTATCTGAGAAAATTTGATTTTTATACGTGCACACTTATAAGATTTGTTAAGTGTATATCCATAATATCTGTTATTGTAACTTCTAGGGTTTGTTCAAGTCAGATGACTAGTTTTAAACCTGCTCGGTGATTCTGACGTCGGCGTCTAAATTTCGTTCAACATATATAAATATATTTACTCTTCAAACCCAAAATATATAGAATTTATACAGAAATTCATGCTAGGACTTTTACAAATGTCATTTTAGCGTGATTGGAGTACATAAATTAATTTTGATATTTTTGTCATTAATTTGCCCCGAGTATGTGATGAAATTACATTGAAGGGCAAAGTGTAAGTTATTACCCGAATACTAAAAGCTTTCCTATAGGAAAAGTCGTCAGTGCTTACTATGTATAATGTTGGTCATTATATTTTAAAGTGTTTTGTATTACATTGATTATCGAAAGACTTAAGTAATGAATATAGTACGAGTTTTTCTTCCTTACCGATAACTGTTGTTTGCCCTAGTGAACTGTCTTCTTCACGTCTGTGAGAAGACACTTTTGCAGAAAATACGAGTAAGTGTATCGGAATTATAAATGAAAAGATTTAGTGCCAAGAACAGATAAATCGCATGTAATAAACACATTTAATAATAAATATATCTAATTGAAAATAATGTATGTTCTTGTTGAAAAATATTTACATGGTCTATAAACTTCAGGCCCTGCAAGGTATAGGCAAATTGTATTCGCACGTAATTTTCGTGCACACAGAATTCACATTCATTCAATAGCAAACAATGTTCAAATGGCTGCCGTATTTACTAAAATTGATTATGTCGTTATACATTGAAACAGACACTAAACATGTTTTGCGGATAACGTTTTGAACCTCAAAAGTTTCCTTTCTCGCATTCTTAACGCAATGGCCGTTGATATTGGCGCAATGGCCGAAAATAGATTTAACCACCAAAAATACAGTCCAACAATATTTTTTTCTTGACGTGTTGGAATCTGTGCTATACGTATGGCGCGGTATGTCGTTTAGATATTTGTAATTAATCACTCGGGCTAACGGTCTTCATGGTTATATTACTGAACTCCATACCGTGCTTTATATGACGGATGACTCAAAATCAAGATCTATTTCCTAAGAAACACGTGTTATGGTAAAGGCCATCCAATTTATTTAAACTGAATTGACTCCCCGAGTTGCGCTTCAACGCTCTGTCGGTTTCTATGGTGTCCTGTTTGAGGCCTGTAAAGATTTAAGATCGCCCAAATCTTTGTTTTAGCTCGGCTATTTGAAGAATAGGAAGAGCTATTGTACTCACGTCGGTGTCGGCGTCACACTTTGGTTAAGTACATGTGTTTGCGTGTATATCCAAAACTACTGAAGGAAATGGGTTGACATTTCACACACTTATTTCAGAGCATAATAGGAGGTCTCTGTCTAAGATTCATTACATTGCTCTCATAGGATTTTCCTTTCGTAAATAAAGTTACCCGACGGTACTATATATGGATTCCTTTCCGTTAATTTCTCACAATTCGCTTAATTATTTACACCGGAAGTTAACTCTTCAACTAACTCACCGTACTTCCGGCACGTGTATAAGATGTCAGTTACGGGATCAAAACATTCTAATGGGAACATCTGTTAAACAGATTTATCTGTAACCACCGATGCGAGTGGGACTTGGGGCTGGGGCGGTCACATGAAAAACTTTACAGTGCAAGGCCTTTGGTCAGATGGAAAAGTTACAACATATAAACATAATATGAAATTAGGCAAAGCCTATGAACGGGGAAGTCGTTAAAAAAAATCCTTTCATTCTTTCCGTTTTAAAGGTGTCATTCGATATCACATACACCGCTTCCGTTTTTACTCGGAACACTCGATGATTATCACTAATCCGAAAAGTTGAGATTTGTTCCGTTATCGGAATACCCCGCCTATTATCATTGACATACATTGTAAATGGCGGCGCCCGACTAGAACTGACACTGAAAATTTCATTGAAAGGTATAGAATTATATATATTTTTTAATTGTTTTTTATTTGATTTTCTTTTAAATATTTACGTGTAGTCTATAGC